GCTAATTGTATGCGAAAATTACATGCATTTTTCAATATAATACCTGAGATATAATCGATTATGTATTATAGGAAATATATGTATATTTAAAAAAACGAAAAATTTCCGATATTCTTACTTCGGATTTTTGTAGACTGAGTAATTTTTCTATAATGCAGTTAATATGCAAATATCATTAGATTGCTGAATATTTGACAATGTAATTCTAACATTTTTTTTGTAATTTAATCGATTTTAAATTACAAAATTTCTTTTTATTAAAGATATAAGAATCATCTAATGTATTATCATATCATTTTTGTAATCCTATAGTTTTTCTCTAACGCAGTAAAGAAACATATAAACGCTAATTGTTTGCGAAAATTACGTACATTTTTCAACATAAAACAGTAATTAAATCGATTATGTATCATAGGAAATATATGTATATCTAAAAAAACGAAAAAATCTCGATATTCTTACATCGGATTTTAGTAGACTAAGAAATTTTCTATAATGCGGTTAATCTGCAAATATCATTAGACTGCTGAATAATGTGCAATGTAATTCCAAAATTTTTCTTGTTATTTTGTCGATTTTTAATTGCAAAATTTCTTTTTATTAAAGATATAAGAATCATCTAATGAATTAACATATCTTTTTTGTAATCCTTTAGTTTTTCTCTAACGCAGTAAAGAAACATACTAGCGCTAACTGTATGCTTAATGTAGTTTATTAAAGTTTTAAATTATATTAAAATAGTTTAAATGTAGTTTAGTTTTTAGTTGTAATGAGGTTAAATATAATTTTATGGTAGTTTTACACATTTATAATGTAGATTAATATAGATTTAATGTGGTCTAACACAGTTTTATTAAGGTTTAAAATATTTTTAATGTAGTTCTACATATTTATAGTGCAGAATAATATAGTTTTAATGTAGTACAACACAGTTTTATTACTGTTTAAAATTGTTTTAATGTAGTTCTATTTAGATACAATGTAGTTTAATATAATGTTTTACGTAGTGTTATATAGATTTATTGCAGTTTTATAAAGTTATATTAGTTTTTAATAAATTTATCATCGCGCGGCTCATATCTGATTAATATCAGGCCTGCTCAAGTCTTCTCACAGTGTAATTACAAAAGTTAATTGTATAACGGCTGCTGAGTTTGAATGCTCGTAACCGACACGCGGTGTACGCTACTTTAAATAAATCTGACTAATTCATGCAAATGCTCGGCGTCCATCTCACTTAATCTTGCTCATTTCCCAAACATTTGGTCCTTCGAGCTGGATCGAGCATTTGCATTTGCAGATTTATAAAAGTTATAAAAGTTAATGTGTGCGGTACATTTTGCCATCTCAATCTCTTTGTTACGCGTAAAGTAGTGCCATCTCAATCGCTGTATTTTTACGCGTAAAGTAGTGCTATCTCAATCTCTTTGCTTCGCGTTAAGAGGTGCCATCTCAATCGATATTTTGCTTCGTGTGAGTAGTGCCGTCTCACGCGCTCTCGTGCGACGCGAGAAATAGTGCCGTCTCACTCGCGTTAGTGCGACGCGAGAACCACTCCCTCTCTCGCTCTCGAGCAGTGTGGTGTATTGTCATCTCTCTCAAGGTGTTTATCAAACATAGTGCCTTATCCCTCGCTACATTGACTTCTTATTCGCACGGCTGTTTAATAGATGTGATAATTTACCAGCTCTTTGAGCAGTAGCACTCAATTTTCGACATCTCAATCGATACGTACAATGGTTCTCGTACGCGAGGAGGATCAGAAGGTCAAGGCGTCGGGTGACCACGATGACCAAGCGACATCCCAGGCATCTCAACCAGGCAGTTTGACGCTACCAACTGTGTCTTCCAATAGTTAAGGTCCCTGGACCAGAAACCAGTCTTCGATTCTGTTCAGTAGCGAGTTGGAATTACGCGTGCGGGCTCAGAATGAGCTTATTGAAACAATGGAGGACATACTCAGTCAGGTCAGTGAACCGTCAGATGGAATCACTTTGACTGAGGTCAACATGATGATAGAAAAACTCGAAAAACAGCTTTGGGCCTTCCGAGTCGAGCATGCGCAGCTGGTATGCAATTGGCCTCCCAGCCAATTAGAACATCCGTATTTTGCTCAAATGGGCAGCATCACCGAGTCAAAGCTGATTCTTAAGACTAAGTGATTACTTGGTCGGCTTAAGGAGTAGCTCACTCAGACCGCGAAACCAGCTCCTCAACCTAAAGCTGGTGCTCGGGCCCGCCCACTGCTACAAGAACTAAGCGTGCCAACGTTCAATGACGAATGTCGGAAATGGCCAGACTTTAAGGCTATGTTCAGCTCGGTGATAGGGAACCGCTCAGATCTCAGTGACCTGGAGAAATTCCAGTACCTGAAGTTAACAATGCAGGATAAGGCCTATGAGCTCATTGCCAACATCACGCCAGACAACTCTTCATATGGTTCGGCGTGAAATCTGGTCAATTCACGATTTGAGAACAAGCGTCTGATCATCAAATCACATCTCGAAAGACTGCTTAATCTCAAGCTGATGCAGAGCAATCTCAAGATGGTCAACATCATCAACGAGACAACTTAGGTTCTCAGGACACTCACAGTGGAGAGCAACAATGATTGCCTGATGGTCACTTTCCTCACTGGACTGCTCGATTGAGATACTTGTGAGAGGTGGGAGACGTCTCCTGCGTCAACTGACGAGTTTCCGTCGCTCAGCCATCTCACTGACTTTCGGGTTGCTCGTGCATGCACATTGGAGACCATTAAGGCATCATCAGCTTTGGCTCAATCCAATGTGCCAAAAGGGGCTATGACGACTCGGGCAAGCTCACCTCAGGCATCTCAACAGCCCCAAGGCAGCTCAGCAAGGTCAGTAGCCCATCAGACTTCTCATTCTGTTCAGTCTCGGACAGTGCATCCGTATGACTGTTGTGGGCAAGACCACTACATAGCAATCTGCCCAAGAATGCGCTGCTGCTTTATCGACCAACGGGTGAAGGTGCTCACGGAGAGGAGTTTATGCTGCAATTGCCTAGGCAGGCACAACTTAAGGAAGTGCAACAGCCTGCGGCATTGCAAGACCTGCAACGACTTCCACAATACGTTGTTGCACGGTGCGGACCTCTCAACAATCTTCGGTCCACCGAAGGATAGGGCTCAGACCGCTCAGGAGGTGCAAGATTCACCCACTCTCTCTGAAAAGCCTTCTCCAGCATGAAGCTCAGGGCAGATCGTCGAAAGCTGCGATCACCCTGTGTCATGCTCAGTAGCAAATCTCAGTCATCTCACCTTGCTGGCTACAGCAACAGCGATAGTCGTCTCATCAACAACTTCAGTTAAAGTTCGTGTTCTTATTGACCCTGGATCAGAAATCTCGTTTGTCTCAGAAACACTCACCCAGCAGCTTAATCTTGAACGAAGGAACTCAAGGCTGGACGTTTATGGTGTCGGCGGAAAACGGACTTCTCAAACAAGAGGAGTTGTCACGCTCGACCTTCAATCAAGGTATAGACAACTCACAGTGACAATTTAAGCTCACGTTCTCAAGATAGTTACCACCATCCTGCCGACCATAAAGATACATTAGGAACCCGAATGGCCTCAACTCAAGGATTTAAATCTCGCTGATCCAGAGTTTCTCATTTTAAGGGCAGTAGAAGTTATAGTCGGAGCAGACTTCTACGGCAAACTCATCAGGTCTAACATCATCAGGCACTTAGACAGATCTCCAATTGCTCAGTTGTCCATCCTCAGGTGGCTGATAAATAGCCCAATTCAGGCATCTGTCACACATGTAAGGACCGCACATCATGGCAGCTCACAGGTATCAAACTCATCCTTGCAAGAGTTGTTGACACGGTTTTGGGTCCAAGAAGAACCTCCAGCATCGGACAACTCACCGCTTACTCCTGAGGAGCAGGAGTGTAAGCTCCACTTAAAGACTACTCATTCAAGGGACTCGACAAGGCTCTACATCGTAAGGATATCGCTCAAGTCGCCCCCAAAAGTTCTGGGAGATGGAGATTCTCATCAGACAGCTCACAGATCTCTCCAACGGATTCTTAGACGACTTTGCAGAGACACTCAGCCAACTCAAGTATCAGTTTGCGAGTGACATCACAAAGATGTATCGGCAAATCAAGATATACCCAGATGACCAGGATCTTCAACGCATCGTGTGGGTGAACGAACAGTACGTTGAATCTCATTTTCAGCTTACCACAGTAACTTATGGAACGAAATCTGCACCGTTCGTAGCAGTAAGAACGCTGCTTTAGCTCGCTGAAGATGAGGGCTCTCGCTATCCTCTTGCTGTGAAACTGATCACTCACAGGCGATACGTTGACGACATCTTCGGAGGATCAGATACAGTGGAAGAGCTCGTGCAGACTGCTCACCAACTTATACGGCTCTGCCATGCGGGCGGATTCCCGCTGGCCAAGTGGCACTCTACTCATCTCATTCGATGACTGTGATACCAAAATCCTTGGTATTCAATGGTCACATCAACAGGATGTGTTCGACTTCTCAACAATCTCGTCTGCTCCCTCCAAACGATTCTTAAAACGTCTCGTCCTCTCAAAAGCAGCACAGATATTTGATCCATTAGGCTTCGCCTCTCCAGTCATAATAAGAGCTAAGATATTCCTTCAATCTCTCTGGTTGCACAATCTCGACTGGGACGACTCACTCTCAGAACAGCTCATCTCTCAATGGCTCAGCATCAGACAAGATCTCATTAGTCTGGCCAGACTCTCTATCCCACGTTGGTTCAACACGCTCTCTGACTCAGCTGTAACTACATGGTTTCTCTGATGCATCACAATTCGCAATCGCAGCTGTTGTGTATCTCGTTGTCCACTCGCCTTCCACTGGCGCCAAGATCTCTCTCGTTTGCTCAAGGACAAGGGTCTCCCCACTCAAGCGGCTAACCATCCCGAGGTTAGAACTCTCAGCAGCGCTGCTTTTCTTAACGCTCATGAATCATGTTTGCGTTATTCTAAACATGAACATCACTCAGACAAATTTGTGGACAGACTCTCAAGTGACAATCATATGGATCAAGGCTCATCCATCAAGATTGAAGGATTACGTACGCAACCGCGTAATTAAAATTCAGGAACTCTCAAAGAACGCTCATTTGAGGTATGTGCCAGGCACATCAAACCCAGCGGACTTGGCATCGCGTGGGATATTCACAGATCAGCTGGAAAAGAACACTCTGTGGTGGACGGGACCACCATGGATGACTCAATCAATGGCCTCATGGCCGGATCAGGTCAAAGAAGCTCCTGATGACTCATGCGCGCAAGAAGCTCGTGCTAGTGTCGCACTTCTCCGGGTTATCAGTGGGATCTCATTCACAGATTCTCAACGCTTTATAGGTTGCTCCGAGTTACAGCTCTCTGCAGTAGATTTGTCAAGAGGCTCTCAGGAGAGCTTAACTCAGCATCAGCAGCTTCTATCTCTGCTAGCGGGAAGGAAGACTCACGACTCCCTTGGGTCAAGGCTACTGAATCGGCGTACTTTCAAGAAGAAATCTCACTGCTCTCACGTCAAGCTCAACTGCCAAGCTCGCACCCGCTCTGTAGGCTCACTGCATTCATTGATGCTGGCTGGCGTTGTGCTCAGGGTGGGCGGTCGTCTGTCGAAGTCTGAACTAATGTACAAGGCCAAGCATTCTGCAATTCTCCCTCGTAACTCCAGGTTCTCAGAACTCGTCATCGCCCATGCTCACAAGAAGACGATGCATGAAGGCACTCAGTCGACTCTGGCATTCATCAGACAACTTTACTGGATCATCGGAGGAAGAGGCCTACTAAAGTCAAATGTTTTCAAGTGTGTGGTGTGTGCTCGTCACAGGGGTATTCGTGCTCAGCAGTTGATGGGCTAACTACCTCTGGCGCGAGTTACCCCATAACGCCCGTTCTCTTACACAGGCATTGACTACGCTGGAACACTCACGCTCAAGACTACTCGAACCACTCAGCGATGATCCAGAAGACACCTTGGTGCTCACACCAGGGCACTTTCTCATTGGAGCGGCACTCAACGCAGTTCCTGAAAGCTCACTGTTGGACATTTCAGCAAGTCGGCTGTCTAGATGGCAGTTCATCCAGCAACGAGTGCAACAGTTCTGGCGCATGTGGTCAACTCATTACTTGCAGCAATTGCAAGACATCTCAAAGTGGCATCACGCTTATAACCACATTCAGGTAGGTTTTCTAGTTCTTCTCACTGATGAGCGTTTGCCTCCAGGAAAGTAGCCCATGGCTAGGGTGCTCATGTTACTGCCAGGAGAGGATGGACTCACCAGGGTGGTGTCCTTGAAGATGGCTACCACAACACTCATCAGGCCAATCGCCAAGCTCGCAGTCCTCCCAGTTCCTCTTCATAAGACAACATGAGTCATAATCAACCTCGTTGCTGATAGCGGGCGGAAATGTTTGGGATTTAATCTGCCCAATGAGATCTCGCGACAGTTGTCGCTCCATGCGGACTCGCCATGACTCAGCACGGCGGTTGAAGAATCATCGTGACGCCGGCTTCTCTGTCAGTCATCTTTTTGCTGTTACGTACGTAACACGTGTCTTCTCATTACAACACAAAAGTCATCTCTTTAGTACTCTCGGTCTCCTACAAACCACACGTGTTTCCTTAGTTCAATCATAAGTCTTCTCAATAATTACAAGTTCGGTGTGATTAATACAATCATCATCGTTCGGCTCTTGACTGATTAATATAATCAGGCTCTAGTCTTCTCATTGTAATAACTTCAGTGTAAAGATACGACACATGATTTGCTCAACGGCTCTCATTTGAATCTCTTAACCGACACGCGGTGTACGCTTACTTTTAAATATATTTGAACACTCAAAGCAAATGCTCGGCGCTCTTCTCTTCAAACCTGCTCATTTCCACAACACCTGCAATCCAAAGATCTATGTAGATTTACTGAATCGTAAAAAAATTTGTTAGCCTAAAAAAAAACTATGTCATAATTATCGAAAATTTTCGTTTTTTTAATATACACAAATTTCCTGTGATAAAAAATCGATTAAATTTCAGTTATTATGTTGAAAAATGAATCTCCTTTTAGCAGATAATAAGAGTTTGTTTGTTTATTGACTCTATTTGAGAAAAATTAAAGGATTAGATAAATTTAATGTAAAAATTATAGTAGATTATTGTATCTATAACGAAAAGAATTTTTGTCATTTATTTTCGAAAAAATTAGAAGCAAAATGTTTTATTACCATTGTACATTTTTCAGCAAACCTATGATGTTTGTAGATGTAGTTAATCGTAAAAAATTTGTGAGTCTACAAAAATACTATGTCAAAATCTTCGAAATATTTCGTTTTTTAATATACACAAATTATCTATGATATAAAATCGATTAAATTTCAGTTATTATGTGGAAAAATGAATCTCCTCTTTGCAGATAATAAAAGTTTGTTTGTTTATTGACTGCATTTAAGAAAAATTACAGCATTCCAAAAATTTGATTTTGATATAATGGTAGGTTATTGTATCTATAATTTATAGAATTGTTGTTATTTAAAATAGATTAAACTACAAGCGAAATGTTACATTAACATTGTACATTCTTCAGCAATCTGAAAATGTTTTTAGATTTACTGCATCATAGAAAAATTAGTTAGTTTGAAAAAATCTTTTGTCGTAATCTTCGAAATATTTCGTTTTTCTAATATACAGAAATTTCCTATGATACATAATCGATTAAATTTTAGTTAATATGTTATATAATACGTCTCCTTTTCGCAGAAAATAGAAGTTTGTTTGATTCTTCACTGCATTTAAGAAAAATTATAGGATTACAAACATTTGATGTAAATATAATAATAGGTTCTTGTATATATAATTAAAAGAATTCTTTTCATTTAAAATCGAAAAAATTAAAAGGATAATGTTAGGTTAACATCGTACGTTTATCAGCAAACCTATGATGTCTGTAGATTTACTGTATCGTAAAGAAATTTTTTAGTCTAAAAAATTACTAAGTCATATTCATGGAAGTATTTCGTTTTTTTAATATACACAAATTATCTATGATATAAAATCGATGAATTTTCAGTTATTATGTTGAATAATAAATCTCCTTTTCGCAGTTAATATAAATTTGTTTGTTTCTTGACTGCATTTGAGAAAAGTTATATGATTACAAAAATTTGATGTAAGTATAATAGTAGTTTATTGTATCTATAATTAAAAGAATTTTTTGTCATTTAAAATCGATTAATCTATAAGACGAAATGATATATTAAGATTGTACTTTTTTCGGCAATCTAAAGTTGTTTTTAGATTTACTGCATCATAGAAAAATTAGTCAGTTTAAAAAATCCCATGTCATAATCTTCGAAATATTTCGATTTTTTATATACACAAATTTTTTATGATACAAATTCGATGAAATTTCAGAATTTATGTTGAACATTGAATCACCTTTTCGCAGAAGATACAACTTTGATTGAATCTTGACTGCATTTGAGTAATATAATAGGATTACAAAAATGTTATGTAAATATAACAGTAGGTTCCTTTTTCTATAATTAAAAGAATTCTTTTCATTTAAAATCGAAAAATACAAGAAAAATGTTAGATTAACATTGTACATTTACCAGCAATCCAAAGATGTATGTAGATTTACTGCATCGTAAAAAAATTTTTTAGTCTACAAAAATACTATGTCATAATCATCGAAATATTTCGTATTTTTAATATACAACAGTTTCCTATGATACAAAATCGATTAAATTTCAGATATTATGTTAAACTAATAAATCTCCTTTTATCAGATAATAAAAGTTTGTTTGTTTAATGACTGCATTTAAGAAGAATTATTGTATTACAAAAACTTGATGAAACATAATAGTAGTTTATTGTATCTTTAATTAAAACAATATTTTGTCTTTTAAAATCGATTAAACTACAACCGAAATTTTATACTTACATTGTTCATTTTTGAGCAATCTAATAATGTTTCTAAATATACTGCATCATAGAAAAATTGGTCAGTTTGAAAAAATCCCATGTCATAATCTTCGAAAAGTTTCGTTTTTTTAATATACAAATATTTCCTATGCTACAAAATCGAATAAATTACAGTATTTATGGTAAAATATGTATGTAATTTTGGCATATAATAAAAGTTTTTCTGTTTTTTTACTGCATTAGAGAATAACTATAGGATTACAAAAATGAGATTCCTATATATTCGCAGATTCTTAAATCTTTATTGAAAAGAATTTTTGCCGATAAATATCGATTTAATTGCAAGGAAAATGTTGGAATTACATTGTATATTATTCAACAATCTAAAGATGTTTGTAGATTGTCACGTCTAGTGACGTCTTATTTCGAACTTTGGTATGTTAATTGTGCGAGTGTCCTTCAAATTTAATAAAAGTATAAAAACCGTCATCCTCTGTTGTTACGATAAGAATAAGTGAGAGTATTTCTAAGATAGAATAAATACATGATTTCTTATATAGAAAAAAGAAAGGAGATGGTTCAAGAAATGTACCAAGCATTCTAGGATAAGCAAATACGTATTTCTGTTAGGTAAAAGTATAAGGAATATAATCCTTCGTTAATACGATATGAATAAGTGAGAGTATTTTTAGAATGGAATAAATACATTTCTTAGATAAACACAGAACGAAGATGATTCCATATAAATAGATGTAAACACATATTTCAAGAATAGGTCAAAACGACCTTCTTACAAGTTTAAATATGTTTCTATATTGAATAAGGTGTTTCTATTGCTTATGATGGTATAGAGAAGTAGCAAAATGTATGTGTGTGTGATTTTCTTGCGTACGTGACCTTTAACACTTCTATCATGAAATCTGTCATTCTCCGTGATAATGCAAAGTGGGGATTTCAAACGAAATGTAGTTTAAAGTCAAATACGCGAAAAGGGAAGGAACAAGAAGCGTATAGAGAGGAGGATTTAGTATATAAACGCGTAACGAGGAAAACCTCGCCCCTTATCTCCTTATACTCGTCTTTTCTGCAGTAACTAAAATCATTTTTAACGGTGTTTGATTGCTTTAGTAGATTAGCTATATATCTTTATATAAACTATTTGTTCTTCGTATACCTCTTTTTGCATTTTGTTAAATAATAAAAGTTAATTGTACGGATAGCGTGCGAATGTGAAAAGCTTATTGTGCCGACGGCGTGCGTATATTGAAGGTGTATTCTACCGACGGCGTGCTTATGTTAAAAAAGGTTACATACAAAGATATTGTATCTTCCTTACTTTTCAAAATATATTAAAAAAACAAAAAACAAATTCCAACCTTTTTTTTTTACTTTTTTAAAAATATCTCAAAAACTAAGAGAGATAGAGCGATTTTACAAATATTATGTTTTGTAGACAATTTTATTTCCTACAAAAAAGGTTATATACAAAGATATCGCATTTCCCTTACTTTTCGAGATACATTAAAAAAAAAAAAATAAATTCCGACTATTTTTTACTTTTTTTTAAATATCTCAAAAAGAAAACAAGGTAGAGCGATTTTACACATATTGTTTTTTGTAGACAATTTTATTTCCTACAAAAAAGGTTGTACTCAAAAGATATTGTATTTCCATTACCTTTTAAGATATATTAAAAAAATAAAAAACAAATTAATATCTTTTTTTACATTTCTTAAAATATCTCAAAAACTAAGCTAGATAGAGCGATTTTTCAAATATTTTGTTTTGTAGACAATTTTATTTCCTACAAAAAAGGTTATATACAAAGATATTGTATTTTTATTACTTTTCGAGATATATTAAAAAAAAAAAACAAATTCCCACTATTTTTTTTCTTTTATTTAAATATCTCAAAAAGAAAGCAAGATAGAGCGATTTTACAAATATTATGTTTTGTAGACATTTTTATTTCCTACAACAAAGGTTATACACAAAGATATGGTATTTTCATTAGTTTCCGAGATATATTAAAAAAATAACAAACGAATTCCCACCTTTTTTTCACATTTTTAAAAATATCTCAAAAACTAAGCAAGACAGAGCGATTTTACAAATATTGTGTATTTAAGACCATTTTATTTCCTACAAAAAAGGTTATATAAAAAGATATTGTATCTCCCTTACTTTTCGAGATATATCAAAAAAATAAAAAACGAATTTCCAACTTTTTTTACATTTTTAAAAATATCTCAAAAACTAA